AAAAAAAAAAAGGGATATATAAAAAAGAACAAACAAAAAAACTACCATGTTGTTATTTTTAGGTGCCATTGAGTTGGGTCTGATTCATCAGGACCATACGTACAACAGATCAAAAGACTGCCCAGTCCTACACGATCCTCACGACTTTTATATTTCAGCTCATTGTTGCAGACACTGTTAGTCCATCTTGTCAAGGGTCTGCCTCTGTTTCGCTGTCTTTCTACTTATCAAGCACGGTGTCTTTTTCCAGGGACTGGTCTCTCCCAATAGCATGTCTAAAGTAGGTATGATGAAGTCTCGCCAGGCACAATTCCAAGGACCATATTGCCTTTCCTTCTTCCAAAATTGATTCGATTCTTCATCTATCAGTCCACAGTACTTTCAACATTCTTTGTTAGAACTGTAATTAAAATGCATCAATTCTTCTTCATTCTTTCTTATTAAATGTCCAACTTTTGCATGCATATGAGGCCATTGAAAATGCCCTGGCTTGGGTCAGATGCACTTTAATCCTCCAAGTGACATCCTAGCTCTTCAACACTTTAAAGAAGTCTTGTGCAACAGCTTTGTCCAATGCAATGCGTCATTTGAATTCTTAACTACTGCTTTGGTGAGCATTATTAACTGCAGAGGAAATATTTGACTACTTCAATATGTTCTCCATTTGTCATGATGTTTTCTATTTTCTAAACCATTCTATTGGCACATAATTCATATATCATACAATTCATTAGTTCAACCACAAGAAAAGTTTTACAATTATCACCACAATCAATTTTAGAACACTTTCTGCATTGTTATTTGCTCCCCATTTGTCTGGTTGTAGGATTCTGGTTTTCTTTGATCTAGCATGTAAATCCTACATATATACCCAGAAGAAGTGAAAGCAAGAGTAAAAGCAGATGCCTTTACATAAATGTTTAGTGATGCATTTTTCACAATAATCAAAATGCAGAAATAACTGAAACATTGATCAACAGGCCAATGGGTAAATGAAGTGTGACAATGAGATATTTTATCTATGGCCATCGATTACTACTCACAGTGACCCTATATTTGGGTTTGGGGGTTGTAAATCTTTAAGGGAGCAGGTAGCCTCATCTTTCTCCCTCATAGTGGCTGGTGGATTTGAACTGATGACCTTTTAGTTAGCATTCCAGTGCTTACCAGACAGTATCACCAAGGCTCTAATGATATATTAATCAGCCTTAAAGAGGAATAAACTCCTGATGCCTGATACAACACAACATGAATGAACCTTGAAAACACAATGCTCACTGACAGAAGTCAAGTTGCAAACAGTCAAACACTATATCATCTTACTTATATGAAATAAGCAAATATATAAACCCCAAAGATGATTAGTAATTACCAGAGGTAGAAAAGAGGAGAAAAGGGGTCGATTTTGCCTAGGAAGCTTTGAGTTTATGTTAATGTTAGTGGAATTATTTAGAAAAGGATAGTGAGGATAGTTGCCCAACATGAAGAATGTAAACAATAACATTAAATTATATATATTGAAATTGTTGATATATATTTCACCACAAATACAAAAAAATTATGATCTACCAATTAAAACTCCAAGAAGATAGAAAAGTAGCCTTGATTCCTGCAAAGTTCAAACAGATCTAAAAGTATATTTGGCCAATGGCAAGGTGTATTTCCCCAAAGTAGCAACAGTGGTATTTTAAATCCCACATGGTCTTCCAGATTTTGGCTATTCTTCAGCAAGAAGCAGAGTCAATTTCCCTCCCTCTTGAGCTAGTGCAGAACTTTGTGACTACTGCAACAAATAGAATGCAGCAGTGATATGGTGATTTCCAAAGCTGCGCCACCAAATGTGACCTGGCTTATGCCTGGCCATCTCTCACTTTGGGTGCATCAATTCTTGAAAGCAACTGCCAACTTGTGAAGAAGTTCAAGCCAGTCCACATAGAAAAACCAAACAGAAATGAACGGAAGAGCCTAGCAACAGCTAGCATCAACCAGATGACATACAAATGAACTTTCAGAGGATTCTTATCTGTGTTGTATACTGCTGAGTCAATTCTGACTCCCAGCGACTCTGTAGGACAGTAGAATTGTCCCCTGGATTGCTTGGATATAACTGCTCCAGGTCTTTTCTCTCATGGAGCTACTGGTGCATTGCAACAACCAAGTTTTCAGTTAGAACCCCAGAACTAACACCAGGGTTCCTAGAGGGGATTGCAGTTTCCCACATTTGAGCCACTCCATCTGATGCTGAGGGGAGTATAGTGAGCTAGTCTTCCTGACTTTTGCCAAAATTCGGAAACAAAATAATAGTTGTTACTTCAACTCACAGAGTTTTAAGACTACTAACTAGAACACTAATTCAGGCTTGAATGTGCATATAAATAGGTTTCATTTGAAACAGAATGATTAGCATGTTTTGTTTGTTATTGTGGCTCCAAACCCAGGTAGAAATAAAAACAATACCTACTTCTTCCATTAGGCACTTCCTGCTGCTGGATGCTTATATATACTTGCAGGGTCAGCTGGGGAGCTGAACCGAGGAAAGCCTGGATCACTGATGCTCGGCTGAATGCAGATCGGTGGGTGATTAACTTGCCCTCTGCTTGGCCCACCTCCCTTTCAATCTCTTCTGAGAAGCCATCTTTGGGAAGCTGGCGCTTCTTGGTAATGCTGACATAAGGCTCTTCAACGTGGCTTGACTGACAGTAAATGCAGAATGCTTGGAAACACCTGGAAACAATAAAGCAAGTCCTGAGATTCAGAGGCAAACAGAACTGTCTTTTCTTAATCTCATTGCTTACACTGAGTCTGGGTAAAGTCTTTTCACTTAATTACGCTGAACATTAGCTGCTGCTCTAAAAGCACCCACGGCAAGAACTAGTCCTTAGCAGGAAATCCTCCTGAGGCCTGTAAACCAGTGGCAACTAAGTGAAATCTATATTGAGGAGTGACACTAAAAGAGGTGACACTAAAAGGCAATGAGGTCAGGGAAACAACTGGAAAAAGGAAGTGCATCAGGTTCGAGAGCAGTGGTTCTCAACCTTTCCAATAAATGTCATTTTGCTACTGTTACGAATCGGGTGACCCCTGTGAAAGGGTCGTTGGACACCCAAAGGGGTCGCGACCCACAGGTTGAAAACCTCTGCTCTAAAGCCACATAAAAATGTTCAACTCAATGTCCTGGCATTTATTAGCTGTGCAGCCCTGGGCAAGACACTTCTCCCCTGAATCTTTCCCCGTAAATACAAAACAAAGATAATACCTTCCTTGTACAAACTTGCAAAGAATAGAGATCACACACACACACACACACACTCTATGGTTGTTAATCTGTATGGAAGCCGACTACCACATCTTTCTCTTGCAGAACAGATGGTAGATTTGAGCTATCAACTTTTCAGTTAGCAGCCAAGTGCTTAACTTGGTAGTACTACTGTACAATACACTCCACATGCAATACATGGCCCCTGCAGACTCCTCCAGTTAAAGAGGAATCTGTGGTTGAAGATTCTTCAGCTCGGGGCAGTTTGCCATCTAACATTCCCCTGGAAGACCACACACATACCTATTGTCTCTGTTCCCATTGTTCTTACAGGATAGAGCTATAATTAATCATGCCTGGAAGCCTGACAGTTATGTCTTATTCATGAAATTACAAGCCTGCCCTAGGGACAGAGCTTCAGCCATGACCACTTCTAAAATGAAAGAATATCTGTCTTTTAGATTCACATACTCTGGTGTCTGTAATTTAATCCAATGTACATCTTTAAAAAAAGAAGCACTGATGGATGAATAGAGCGATGAATAACTAAAACCAAACCCAACCCATTGCTATCAGGTCCCTTTCAATTCATAGCAACCCTACTAGACAAAGTAAAACCATTCTACGGGGGTTTCTAAGGCTGTAATCTTTATGGAAGTAGATTGTCACATCTTTCTTCCACAAAGCAGCTAGTGGGTTCCAACTGGCCACCTACTAGGTTACTACTGCACCAGTAAGGCTTCTGAATAGATGTATTGAAGAGTGAATATACTAAAGTGGTATATTGTAGAATCTAGTTGGATACTAAGGTGTTGACAGTACCACGTTTTCAACTTTGCTTCTGTATGTTTGAAAATTTTCAAAATAAAATGCTGAGAGAAAATGATTTTTCTCTGGTAAAATACTCACTGCTTTATGATTAAAAATTGTTGATGGGACCCCTCTCCCCACCACCAAAAGTGCATTTTTATAACAAACTTTTAACACTGGCATAAGATTTTATGGCTTCATCGATTTTATTTAATGCTATAAATTTTGTATTCTTGCCCTGAAATGATTATGGCAACAAAAATACCTTTATAATTTGAAACAAAATAAAGCTTAAGACAAGAGAAGGGAAGCAGTTCTCTCTCAGACTGGTACACAAGGGACATAATTTCTGACTAATATCTTTCTCTCTTTTGTTCATGGGAAAGAAGGTGCATCGTTGTGTATGGGGGGGGTGTTATCTTTCACATTTTGTCCATTCAAGTCACACAGGAAAAATAAAACTGCACTGCCATGGAGTTGATGCAAGCAACTCCATAGGACAGGGTACAACTGCCCCTTTGGGTGTCCAAGATTGTAACTCTTCCTGGGAGTAGAAAGCCTCACCTTTCTCTTATTTAGGTCACTGATAATTTATTATATGGAAATATGGAAAACAGCCTGGGCACAGTTTTTGAGGCTGAAAATAATGTTTATAAAGCTAAGATCATGAGTTCAATCTCAGCTGGTTCATACGATTTTACTCTGAGGACAAACTCGGGTCTATGCCTGAGGATTGTATGAAGTCTGGCCACTTCACACTGTTGGGTAACTGCCCACAGCAAAGACTAGAAAACAGAACAGGCTGACCCATCATTTTTACCTCTCACATGTTTGCTGCAGACACATTTTACTAAGTGCTTTGGAGAATACAAAGACAGCTGGATACGCTGCCTCATTTGGAGGTGTTCATAATCTAAGTGGGGAAATCGGACACTTAAATGTGGATAATAAATCATGAAAACAATGAATCTTTATATCCTACTTTCATTTTCTAAAATAATCACTCAGAAACACCACTACAAGAAATATAAGTTCGTAAATCACAGCATTATTTTTAGTAGCAAAACTCTGGGCCTACTCAAAAGGTTTCAAACATAAAAGAATGATTTGATCAATAATAATATATTCATTCAATGATTTACTTTGCAGTCCTTAAAACTGATGGTATATATAATGATGATTGCCATATTTTCTAAGTGAAGAAGAAAATTAGAATAGAATCTAAATATATAAGTCCACTTTGTTTAAAAGTACATACTGTTTGTAATGTATGTATGTAATGCATGTACATGTATGGAAAAGACAATGTAATTGTCTTTTAGACAATATGGAATTATATATATTTACATCCTATGCTAATTTGCTTCTTTCATTTAGAAAATATATAGGGTGGCTATGAGTCAGAATTGACTGGATGGCAGTGGTTTGCTGGTTTTATATGAATATACTCAAATTATATATACTTAAGTATATACAAACAGTGGAGTGCTTGGGGTATTTCAATCTGACTCACAAGGGTTGATCATTAAATAGTCTGGAATTTTGCAAGTCATTTGAGCTAACTGAGTTAAATCATTGGTAGCTTTAAATTAGCCATGATGGGAATACATACATGAGGAAAATCAGTAAAAACTGCAAATCAGGATACAGCAACACAGCATTATAAAAATATTCCTAAGGCTATACCCCCAAAGGTAAGAACTGAATTAGAGGTTTTAGATTCTTCATTGTGTTTATCTGTTGGTGCTTTCATTTCAACAAGCATGTTTTAATTGCATAATAAAATCCAGGTAGGAGTTGTTGGCTTTTTTTTTTTTAAGGAAAAGAGAAGAAACACCAGCATGTCCTAAGAACTGATAGAAGGAAACAGGTTCACAAAACAAGCAGGTGGCCCAGGTGCTGAGGAAAGGGATGTAGAAAAGTGGAAGGATTTGCAGAACTCTACATGAAAAGGCGCTTTCATGGTCAATTCATTTCACATCAAATGAAAGTATGGAGAAAGCCCCCAGAATGAATTAATAATGGCAGAGGTGACCCTAAATCTCCATTAGTCTCCCTCTCAGTCCACTTTCCCCACATGCATTCAGTAAATTTGTGATAAGAAGGCCCTAAGACCTCCCAATGCTACTCCGTAAGATAACTGATAAGAAACAAATTACAGTTATTGGCATTCTGCAAGGCTTATCCAATTGACACAAGCCTATCCATTTTTCAGCCTGGGAGCCTGAGATCATAAATGCAGTTTTTTCATCAAAATAATTCAAAGTTATTTGGGGGTATCATGTAAGCAAATGTTTTCTATAAAAGGCTTGTGTTTGGCTTTGGCGGGCCCTAGTCTTTTGCCCCTACTCAACTATGACATTGTAGCAGAAAATCAGTTATAGACAATGCTACACAGATGAGTATGGCTGGCTTCCAATAAAACTTTATTTACAAAAGGTAGATTTGGCCTGTTGATCTTTGAGGTAGACAATTAACAGGCTGATCTCTTTTTTTTCCTTTTATCAATCACCATGCTTCATTTTGCAAACATCACATATCTTTAACGGAGTTTATTCCTTAGCAGAAGCCATGGCTACTGGTGCCAGCACAAATAACTTACGCTACCAGAGCCATATAAAGTAATTAATAAAAAAACTATTTTCAATGAAATAGTGATTATGATTTCCAATGAGACTTTTTATCTGCATATGACAGATGTGTTCTAAAAGGCTACACAAGAACCAAACCGTTTACATAGAAAGTTCCATGTGACTTTTGAAAAAACATTTACTGAATTGCACTGCGTCTCAATTTCTCAACAGGAAAAACAAAGATAATGAGAGTGTATCAGTAGATGAAATGAAAAACTGTATGTAAAAGCACTTCCTAAATGAAGAACAAATTGTGAAATGTAAACTAGTAGTATTTTTTAATTCTCTTGAAACTGTAGTACAGAGATAAGTACTATAGCAAATCATTTTGCAATGCCCTATAAAGATTATTATAATGTCTTCATCTTTATTTGAAAAAGCTCAATTTTCATACACCATTTCCTTCATTATATCAGTTATTTAAAAAAATAAGGAAAAGAGGGCCTCTAGCTTATAATATTTCTTCCTTCTCTGAGTTATTAAAGTCAATATAGCTGTAGAAGAATAACAAACAAACAATTGTTAAGTGCTCCTTTGGGAACAGGCTACTGTTGTGTTTCTAGACTATTAATTACAGTAGGATTTTCCTTAAAGTAGAAAAACAGTCATATTAATTCAAGGAATTATTTAATGTTCCTATCATTCAAGCCTTAATGCAGAAACTCTTATAGATTCTGTGATGATGCTTTGAAGCAGAAGATAGATATAAACAAAATAAGGTCTTCTCATGGCACCTTCCTAAATGGTAAGAGGAATGTAGGAATGTTATATTTACCTTGGATCATTAGCGTTCAACAGTGTATTCTAGCTTAACCAAATGAACACAAAGCAGAATCTCATTTATGAAAAGGTAAGAGTTTGGCTAGCAGTACCTACTCAAAGGTATTTAGAGTGAACTTTCCAAAATCAATTCAGAAATATTACTCAGTCCAATGGCAAAGGAGGAAAACAAATACCTCGTGTCTTTCTTTTATTTGAGGGAAATTATTTTGAGGTGTGTGTAAAGCTGAGGTCCTGAGTGCTAAAATAAAATCAAACAGTCAGCATGAAGAACTTCCAGTACGATATTAAGTCATGCTAATATACAACATCAAATTGCTTTTATTTTTCTCTGAAAACTAAGAAGCTTAGAAACTACATTTTGTATATCTCAGCTATAAAATCTTCTGCCCAATATCTCCTTGAAATAAACTAGCTGTATTGAAATGTATCTTTGCCAGTGGAAGGAGGTTTTTGTTTTGTTTTTTGGTTTGGCTTGTTTTCGTGCTCCAGGAAGCCAATGAGCCATAGAAAACTGTCTAGAAATAGATCATTTTTTAGAGCACTGGAATTTTTATACACCTGGGAAATTATCATTTAAAAGCACCATATATTTTTTTTATTTAATGAAATAGTAATTTTAATTGTAAAAACTAGAAAGAACAGAAAAAAATTTCAACAAAGGAAAAATGTATGCTTTCTTTTATAGAAGGAAATCAAAATCATATATAACTCCACCATCCAGAAATAACTGCCTTTATCATCTTAGTATATTTCCCGGAACTCAGGTTTATATTTACATCTCAATTCTATATCTAATATCCTATTGTTCACTTTGTCTCTGGTTACCTTTTGTATTTAAAAACATTTTAAATGGTAGCAATGATAAGTTATTTGTATTTGTTTGGGGATTTTAGAAAAAGCATGCAGTGGTGCCTCCATGCCCTTAAGTACTATTGACAAAATGTACTGCTCACTCTCCTGCCTTCTTACACAGAGCACAGGAAGCATAACTAGTCCTGACCCTGGCCCTGTTTGTAAAGAAGCTTTGAGAATAAGAGCCAAGGCTTCATTTTCCTTATCTGTAGAATGGGGACAATTACATTTACTTCATGGGGAGGATTAATTGAACTGGGCCAGAGCAGTACCTGCCAAGCCACCTAGCATGAGAAGCGCTTGAGAAATGTCAGTTCTTCTTTTCCTGTAACTTCAATTAAATATCATGAGCATCAGTTCTCTTTTTGGAGATAAGGAAACCGAGGTTAAGAAATGATACAGGCTTGTGTGAGGTGAGAGCACATTTATTCTACATAGTTGGAATAGAATTAGGACCACAGGGCCTACTAGGCAAGACAGAATTGGTTACCCTGACACACACACACACAAATTCTGGACTGCAAGTCTTTTTACATTCTAAAGTCTCCCTGTCACCACCTTCCACTCCTATCCCATGACACTTTGCTCTCTACAAGACTCTAGTAGCAACTTCTCCTGCCACTATACCGGTTTCTCTGCCTTTCTAGGATTCCGTGGTTTCTGGAGGGTGAAAAACTTGTTCACCAAGTTTATCATGAATGCGTGTAAATGACAAGTCAATTTCCAAGTGCCAGTGGGGACAGTTGTCTTTATCTGGGCAAGTTTTTTTATAAGGTTTAGAAAACATATTTTACTACTAAAGTGTGTGTGTAAGAGGCAGATGTACTTGTAGTGAAAGTTCCTGGCTAACTGCTCTCTAGCAGCTGAGGTGTGTCTCTGCCCTCTCTAGTTCTTCCACTTCCTCTTTCACCTATGGCTAACGTTCTGTACCATAACTTTCTTTCTAACCTAGAGAGATGATCTTTGTCTTGCTTCTCCTACAGAGAAGAAAGCTTCAAAAACATATTTTGAACTCTCTTCACTATTTTAAATTCATGTCCTGAGATGGCACTAATAGATTTGCTTTATTTAACACACAGCAGAATCTGTGTCTTCAGGGCACACTGTGTAAGCGATGAAGGGCTGTGTTTTTAAGCTGGGCAGCTATGAGAAACATTTCCACAACTCCATATGGTACCTCTTTCCTTAATATTCACAAAAGTACTGAGACAAGAATGCTGCCGTGATTTCTAACGTTCTTAACGACAACTTAACGAATTCAGTGACTTGAATAGTGCCTAACACACAGTAAATGTCATGTGCTTGCTACAAAATAAATAAATAACTATGACTTTGTAGATACTTGCCAAGTGTTTGTGACAGCATAATCCAAGCCTGCCTGAGCCCAACTGACTGCAGTGTGTGTGTGTGTGTGTGTGTGTGTGTGTGTGTCTGATGAGGTCGGGGGCACATGAAACTGCCGTTCGAGTTGGACAAATCCAGTCGAACATTTTGCAGTTCCTATGGTACCACCCAATAGAATGCAGTATGCCTCTGCTCTCTTGTCAGGATCCCCGGATTCTGTCGCATTCTGGGACCAGAATGGCAGGGCTGGGGAGTGAGGCAGCTGCCCAGCCACCTGTCCCTGCTGGAAGGCCAGGTTCTGCGGGGAGCGCGGACACCCACAGGGGCTCCCCCTGCCCTTGCCTGCCCCTCCCGCTCCCCTCTTCCCCGGGAGGGCAGGTGGCAGGCGAAGGCGGGGCTTGCACACGCACCTGAAGACAGGCCCGAGTTGCAGCAGGTGCAACAGCAGCATGAGCGGCTGGTCCCGGCTGAGGTCGCGGTGCACGAAGAGCAGCGTGAGCTGCACCAGCGCGCAGGGCATCAGGGAGAAGAGCAGCGTCAGCGCCTGCCACATGCCGTCCCCGGCCGAGTGGTAGGTGCTGCTCAGGTAGAGCGCCGCCGCCGTCTCCGCCAGGAACAGGAACACGGACGCCAGCACCGAGCCCGGGAATTTCATCTCCGCGGCGCGTCAGCGGCGGCGCGCCCCGGCAGCTGAGGCGGC